TTACTGTGTCAGCAGACCTGGAGACCTGTGGGGCAGGGGAAGCCTGGCCCTTGCCCACAGGGAACTTCACTTTTACTTAGAAAACAAAACTGAAACATAGAGCCAACATGGAAAGCATTTACTCCACTTTACTAAAGACTTTTAAGCTTTCCTCCTTTTCATCTGTACCACTTTTAACAAACAGCCCCGATCAATGAGTCTTAATTTCTAAGGCCAGCATTTTTCACGAGTGCTTCTAAACCATTAAGACAACCTCAGTTTGCACTTTCATCTTTACTATGAGGAAGCCGCTTAATTTTTCCGCTCAGACTAATCTTCAAGATGGCTGGGTGGGTTGGGTTGGGTTGTTTTGGGTTTTTTAATATTTTGACAAATTTTCAAATGACAAATTTATCTGTGTGTGTGTGTGCACGCGTGCACTCTGCTGTATCTGTTGGAAAGTATTTCTTTTCCCTTGGGTCCACTGCAGCTGTTTCTACTCAGATCATGAAAGATGCTTGCTACTGAAGCCAGCAGGTCACTGCAATTATCAAGTGTTCTTTCTGTTTGATTTGATGCTTCGACACTCTCTCAAGTTCAAATTCTCCTCTTCCTAGTTTCTGTGACACCAGTCTTCCTTTCTTTTTCCACCTGCCTCTGTAGTTGCTTCTCATTCTCAACTCTTTCTAAGACTATTTCATTCTGTTGTTCCTTTAATATTGTTATTCTCCAATATTTGGTCCCCTGGAGAATAATCTTTTTTTAAAAATAGAAAAATTGTGTTTGTGTTCTTCTCAGAATGCTGTTTCATCCATCGGCTTTTGACTTGCACCCATCTATTTACTGGATATTTTTAAAGTTATAGGTGGCTGCCTCCTATCCATTCACTTGTCTAGCCATATCTGTACCACCTTCACAGTTCTTAAAACCATCCCCTACTTTATATCTCCATTGTTCCCTTGGCCCTTATCACAAGGGAAGGACCTGTGTCATAAGGTCACTGGCCTAGACTCCATGGCTGAGAATATCATATTCTAGTTTTACTTCTGCTTTATCATCCCAAGAGAGTGTTCTCACCCTCCCTGCTACCTTCTCATCTATTTTCTGTCCCACTGCTCATGAGTCAATTCTGATTCATAGAGAGCCTCCACTGAGTATTGGAGATTCTAAATCTTTATGGAAATAGGCTGTCCCTCTATCTCTTGAAGAGTTGCTGGTGGATTCAAACCACTAGCCTTTTGCTTGACAGTCATGGACTCCAGCCACTACACAGCTAAGGCTTCCAGACATCCCTGCACTCCCGGGATAACACACTCTCGACCCAAAGGGTTTCTAAGCGACAGTTGTTTGAAAGGAATAAGTGGAACTTAGATAGACCTGGAATCTTTACTCTACACATGTGGCATCCTTGGCGTTGTAGACCAGAACCTAAGGATGTGTAGTGACATACACACCCTATTTGTGCTCTTGTCATAGACCCCACAGATATTAGTGACAAGCCTAAGTATTGCCTTTCTTTTATTTGTATTCTTGATGCAATGCTGGTAGGTAATCTTAAGGATTCTTGATAATAAATATATTAGCTTTTTATTTTTGTGTTCCCATATGCCTATCATCGTGCCTACCCAGGTGAATAAATAATGTATATTTGTTGAATGAGTTAAATTATGAATGCAGCTTATATTAAACATTATATAACTGTTTCATCTCCTTTCTTGTCATTTTAAAGATTTTATGATAATGTCTGCGTGACTTCTCTTGGGGGGAAAATGTTTGGAGACCAACATTTTTCAAAATAATATATGCTTCTAGTGTGATGTTTCATAGGAAAATTTTTATAACTAGGAAAAACCTGTTTTATATCTAAAACTGATAATTTATATTTAAGTAAATTTTTATTGACAGTTTAATTTTTCAAAATTGTGATAAGCTAATAATAGATGATAAAAAATGCTATCAGGCAAACATAAAAATCTTAGTATTACAGATTAGTGTTACATTATGATACAAATGATAATAATTATTATTGTATGATGTAATTAGTGCCCACAATGGGCACTAGGACAACAGTGCTTATGACCAAGTACAGTGGATAATGACCAGACCCTGAGGTTTTCTGGAATACATGTGTGAGAAGAAGCATGCTGTGTTTGTTTTTAAAACATGGGCAAGAGTGGAAATGAGGTTTCCTGCCAGGCTTCTCATGAATTCAATAAGTCCTATTTCTTTTGTTGTTGTTGTTGTAGTTGTTGTTGTTGCTTGTGACCCTATGAACAAAAGGCCTGATGCCTTTCTATAACTATCATCATTTATCAAAGTTCATACAGTTTCTAGAGGCATGTTGTTTAGGAAGTAGTTGCCACTCCTGCTTCCAACTGTTTTTAGTGAGCTAATTTATAAGGTGAGAAATGTGTGTGTAAGAGATAGAAAATTTTAATACAAGAAGCACTTTGACAGTGAATCCTTTTTAAGCACCTAATCTGCTTGTTTGAATTCCTGAGATGATTTTTATTGTAGATTTTATGTCCCACATGAGTAGATTGGACCCTTAGTGCAGTGATCATTACACAGGAAGCCCATATGACACATCCCACATACTAGCTTTGGATCTCAGTGGCTGTTAGTATTTTAGCATTTATATCTCATTGTACTGGGAAATAATATGCTCTTAGAATTAAATTAATTGTGTTTTAGATGATCCTAAAATCTCCCCAAGTTTACAAATTCTCTATAGGATAAAGCTACTGTTAGGTGCCATTGAGTTGAGTATGACTCATAGTGAACCTATGAAAACAGACCTGAATGCAGTCCTGTCCTGTGCCATCCTTATCATCTCTGACACACTAGAGCTTATGCTTCAGAGTAGACTGGCCCTGTATGATTTCCAAGGCTGTAATCTATCTGGACACTGCTGTAGCTCTAATCTCTCTGGAAACAGACTGCCTCATTTTTCTACTAAAGATAAGTGGGTGGGTTTGAACCACATACTTTTTTGTTAGCAGCCAAATTTCTTAATCACTACACCACTAGGGGTCCTTCAAGCTTTCTAAAACTTTTCCTATGTTGACTTACTAGCAAGTAGTCTTTGAACTGAAAGTTAAGCCATCGCAATAATTTTAGTTTATACTTAACTCTCAAGATTCTTACTATTTTACCAGCTATTGCTTTATAGATTATTCTTTCCATATTCTTCTCCTCTTAGAAAGTTTAGGTATAATAAATTTTTCTCATTCCAGCCTTTTCCCTAGATAAGGTGAATCTTTTAGGAATATCTCATTAAAGCTAATAAATATCAAAGCATTTACCTTTATGAGCCATTGTGCACTGACTGTCATACCATCACGAGTCATGACTAAAACTACATAATGACATTGTTTCAAGCATATTTCTCTAATTAAATTGCTCTCTGACAGCTTGGGATCACTGGCTTTTAGAGGAGATACTTTGACTAATAAACAGTTTGAATTGTTTCTGTCATCCAGAAACTAGTTTCCCCTCCCACAAAAAGATACAAAAATGTCTTTCGTTTTCTTAACTTAGTAATATTAATGACACTTGGGTCTGTTTTGCATTCAGATAATTTTATCACCATTGCACGAAGGATGGGCAGACCTAGTTCACATCTTCCACTTCCCACTCACTTATGCTTCTACTTTAGGGTTCTACCACCCCCCACCCCCGCCCATGTGCCTGTTGAATCCTTTCTTCTGTATTCAGGATTCTCTTTCTGAGTGGGTTAAGGGGGTAGCTATTTAAAAATCAATAAATAAAAAGATTGAACCCCATGTGGTGCCTAAAGCAGGACAAAAGCATTGTGCGCGCGCGCGCGCGCACACACACACACACACACACACTACCCTTTGCCTCTTCTCTGCCTCCAGTGCAGAAGAGACTCACTAGCCCCCCTCTTTTGTTGCCTATACTTTTAGTCTTCGGGCTCCTTTTTCTCTGTCAAAGCTACTCTTTAATGTGAATATGTGCAAACAGGAAAAGGATTTGGTTATCAAGGAACAGCATGGAGTGCTAAGTAGAATAATGAGAATAGATAAGAGAACGAATGGAATGGAAGTGAGAGACTCCTCTCCACTAATCCCTATACTAGAGTCAAGATTCAGAGTATGAGGATTAGAGAGGATCTAGCAATTCCATAATCAAACTTGGAATGAGTTGCCACTAAGTCATTTTCAGCTTATGGTGATTCTCCAAGGGGTGTCCGAATACTTCTTGGCTCCATGGGCTTTCCAATGTATGGATTTCTGGAAGTAGATCACCAACCAGTGTCGTGCTTGGTGAACTTGAACTGCCAGCATTTTGGTTAACAACTGAAAATGTTAACTTTTTGTACATCCAGGAGCTTGGATCCATAATTATAATACCAATTAACAAATAGTCAATAAACATGTACTGAATCTCAGCTCATCTCCTTCAATTATATATATTTATTGCCCCGCCAATCAGCTAGTTGTTCATAGAGCTTGACCAGAACTCTCAGAAGCCAGCTGCTTTTCTATAATAAGATACTAAAAAGACTCATATTTAGTATTTCTGATACCTGCCACGAAGGAGGCATTAAATGTTGAGCTAAATGAATTCTTTGTAAGGATGATGACTGTTTATGTGCAGTGACTCAGTGGATGAATAATGGATTTTGGAGTCTAGCCTGGGTCTAAATCTCACCTTTTGCCTGAGCAAGATTCTTAATTTCTCTGAGTCAAAGTTTTCACCCATCCAATCAAGGGGGATAATAATAGTTACCACATAAAGTTGTTGTAAGTAAGGATTAAATTAAATAGGGTTGTTGTAGGAAGTACTTAGTTTACGTGGAACAATCAGGGGCTTCAGTAAATACTTGTGACATGAGTAAGTACTAATTATCATTATATTTGGTCTCCCTCATAGAGTGTCAGCATACTTAACCTTCTGGGTGTGTCGTTTGTTAATAGACATTTGTACTCTGCTGTTTGGTTAACTTCTTTCTATATAGAAAACCCCTGCTTTGTTAATTTTTTTTTAAATTCCAGACTAATCCACGCAGGACAGATGTTAAATGGATTGGCAGGTCCGACAGTGATGAACGCAGCTCCATTCCTGTCGACGACATGGTTTTCTGCAGACGAACGAGCTACTGCCACAGCGATCGCGTCAATGCTCAGTTACCTCGGTGGAGCGTGTGCGTTCTTAGTCGGACCACTTGTTGTTCCAGCTCCAAATGGGACTTCACCTCTTCTTGCAGCCGAGGGTAGCAGAGCCCAAATTAAAGATCGCATAGAGACTGTGTTATATGCAGGTACTTGAAGTTTGTTTTCTCTCTGTTTTGCTTCATGTAAGAAGACTAATCTGGACAGATGCATGTGATAGGCTTTTGTGTGTCATGTAATATAGAGAAACTAATTTAAAACTTGCACCCTTCAGATAGCTAACAAGCACATGAAGAAATGTTCAAAATCCCTAGCCCTAAGAGAGATGCAAATTAAAACAACTATGAGATATCATCTCACCCCAGTCAAAATAGCAAAATTTAACAGAACATCAAGCAACAAATGCTGGCGAGGTTGTGGAGAAACTGGAACCCTGATTCACTGTTGGTGGGAGTGTAAGAGTTGCAAATAGAGATACCATTTGACCCAGCAGTTCCACTACTGGGAATATACCCTGAAGAGACCATAGCTGACATCCAAGCAGATATATGCACACCCATGTTTATTGCAGCTTTGTTCACAATAGCAAGGAGTTGGAAACAACCTAAGTGCCCATCAACAAACGAATGGCTAGAGAAGCTGTGGTATATTCGCACAATGGAATACTATGCTGCATTAAAAAACAAGGAACTCATGCAATATTATTCAAAATGGTTGACTCTGGAGAACATTATGCTGAGTGAAATATCCCAGTCACAAAAGGACAAATATTACATGATGCCACTGTTGTAGAATGGGACTGTCTTTGGGGTTGGGGAGAGACTGAATAAGATGGGTTCAATAATGTATACTGCACTGAAACAGAGGAGGGAGAAAACTGTTTAAAAAAGATATATGACTAGGTACTTCTGTCATTACAGGAGTCTAGAGCGAGGGCTACATGGTGGAGGGGACCTGGGGGAGGGTTTGTAAAACAATGAAAGAATCCTTTCTTTTACTTTTCCATAATTCTTGACTCATGTACTTACAACTTGTTAGTCAAATTTGTGTCTTCTAGGTTGCAACACCCCCATGATACATCTTCAGGGATATGAACATGTACGGCCAAGCACAATCAATAAGAGTGCATCTAAATTCCAAAATAAAAAACAAAAAACAAAAAAACACTTGCACCCTTTCTAGGCAATTGTTTGTTGTTATGTGCTGTCGAGTCACCTGTGACTCATAGTGACTCTATGTCCAGCAGCCCTAAATGCTGCTCTAGCCTGTGCTAATCTTATTGTCTCTGACACACCTATCCTCATTACCCTAGTCACTGAATCAAACATCTCATCGAGGGTCTTCCTCTTTTGTGCTGTCCCTTCACCCTCGCAAGCATGACTTCCCTCTCCAAGGACTGGTCCCTCCTTGCAGCATGTCCAAAGTATGTCAGACGAAGCTTCAGAATCCTTGCCTCCAAGAAGCAGCCTGACTTCACCCTCTTTTCCTAGCGTCCATGGTATATTCAATACTCTTCTCCAGCACCACAGCTCTAAGGCATCAGTTCAGTTTAAAATGTATTATAACTGCATGTAAAGTGTTTTGTTGGGTTTTTTGGTGTTTTGGGTTTTTTTTTAAATGGCAAAATAGTAAAGGTAGACTTATTAGAAAGTTACATCTCTAATGGGTAAGACATCCCTCCTTGTAAAACAGTTTCTTAACATATTCTTCTTAATTTACAATTACACATTACATGATATACTTTTGAAACTCTTCTCTGTTTTACCAGTATGTAAAACTAATTATCAGGATTAACAGTAAACATTTGTTGCAAAAATTGATAGACTTTAAGTTCATTTTCTCCCTGAAAGTGTCCCCATTATTGTCTGTGTTCTGTAACCTCATTACTTTAAGTTGCCCACAGTTTATATTCTTTTATTTATTCCTCCTGTGTGTTTAATCTATTATAGAAAAAGTTAATGTTTCCTCCACTTTGTGTCAGACCCCTTCTCTTTTTATTTCCAGAATCAAGTACTAGACTACGCTTATATAACATACTTCTATGAACAAAACCCACCACCTGTGAGTCACTTCCAACTTACAGCAACAGCATATGTTCCAGAGTAGAACACTCCGTAGGGTTCTCTTGCTATATTCTTTATGTAAACACATCCAGGCTTTTCTTCTTGGCAATATTAAGTTCAGACTACCAACCATTATGTTAGTAATTGAGCACAAACCGTTGTACTACCCTGGGGCCCTCAGTTTTCTACCAGATTCACCTAAAGTCATTGATGTGAGTTGATTCCGACTCACAGGAACCCTGTAGAACTTAGTATAACTGTTTTGCTACATCTGTCTCCCTTGGAGTACGTGGGGGTTCAAGCCACTGACCTTTCTGTTAGCAGTCGAGTGCTTAATTGTTGTACCCACAGTCTCCTACAGACCTCCTTGAATACAGCCTCTTTCCTCCCCATTTGCCTGTGAATAATTTTCTTCTGTGTTCAGAAAACTTTGTATAGTATTTAGTATTTTCCAAATACTATGCTAGGTACCGGGAGCTGACAGATCAATGATAAGAAAATGATAATAAAAATAGAGTGTAAAGAAGTTGGGAAGCCCAGCTTTCCTGGTCTGACCTGGCCTGGGCTTGAGTAACAGCTGTGGTATCAGGGAATACTTCACAAAAGATAGAATAATTGAACAAAATTAAGTCTTTTCTAGGAGCTCAGAGAGTGTTCAGACAGATTAGGGACTTCAGAAGGGACCACTACTGCAAAGATGGGGACGGTATGAGAGAACGCAGCCTGCCGAGGAACTACTCGCAATTAAAAAATACTGGTGTTGCATAAACTTACATATTTGAATGTAGGTGGCAAGTGACAGAAAATGAGGCTGGAAGGATAAAAGAGTGGATTATAATGCATTTTGTAGTAATCCATTGGGATTTTGCTTACTTAACAAATATATTGTGCTGTGCTAAGCACCAGGGCTGATAAGGGTTCCTGACCTTGCACAGGTTACATTGATGTGGAGGATACTGACAGGTACATAGACATTGAAAACGAAGTGTAAGTTTTATACAACCGAAGGAATCCATTTGTTTTGGGAGCTCATAGAAGGAACACCTAACACAGATTTGGGAGTTGAAGTAGAACTTCCTGGAGGTGGAGAACTAAAGGGTTGAGTTAGCTAAAGACAGTGATCAGGAGTAAGAATATACTAGAAAGTGAACTATGAAGGAGAAACCCATGAGGGGAAGGGGGCCCAATATGTTCAAGCCCTAAAAGCCCAAAGTGGATTAAATCTCTGGGAGTCAGGAGAGGTGAGTTGAGTGGTCAGCCAGGGCATGCAGCCTTTGTAAGCAAAGCTAAAGGAATTCAAGTTAAGAGACAAAGGGAAGGCTCTGACTTGTGTACAGGAGAGTCACATGATGAGATTTACATTTTGTAGTAGGGGTTGTAGAGAATAAAACTGAAACTAGGTGAAACAGATATGTGAATCTTCATTTTTGGTAATAATCTGTTTATTGAGAACCTGAGCAATGACTGGTTTAGTAAAGGGATTTTAGGCAGTAGTAGTTATGTTCTGTATATTCCTAGCTCCTGGTTCCTGTCCATTAGAGCAGAAGTACCTCCCCCTGGCTTTCCAGTTTTTACTTCAGTGATTTCACATTTACCGATCTGTCTGCCTAAAATATTGTTCTGTTCACTTTGTTAAATTACTTTGCTAGAATTACTATCCTAAAGTAAATTAATCCAATAGCTTTTAAAGTCCATATATAGAATATCTATTATAATATTTTGGCATTTTATTTGCATTTTCCTTTCCCACTAAGTTGTAAAAACAGACATTCCTCTCTTTTCTCTGTATTTCTCAAAATAACCTGTTATGGTTGCTTCTACTGAGTCAATAGCTTTGCATTCACCGATGTTAACTGGGTAGAGCAGTGGTCAGCAGATTTTTCTATTAAAAACTAAATAGTAAAAAAAAAAAAAGCAAAACACCCCTCCCCCAAAACCCCACATCTAAATAGTAAATACTTTGAATTTTTTGTTGTTGTTATCCCTGTGTCCTGCAAATTAGAACTGACTCAGCTGACCTTCTAGCAGATTTTCAGAGACTATAAATTGTACAGGAGGAGATTTCTTTTTTCCTGCAGAGTAGCTGGTGAATTAGAACCTCCTTTCTTCAAGTTCACAACTCCTTACTAAGTCACAATTACTTCTTTTAAACTTAATAGTCCCTATCAAAACTACTGTTGCCCAATAGCACAAAAATAGTCGTAGACAATCTAAAACAATTAAGTATGATTGTGATTCAATAAAACTTGGGGAAATGTGTGAATATTTAAATAAAATTTATAGTTTTTATATGTCATGACATTTTTTTCCAGCTATTTAAAAATTATAAAACTGTTTTCAGCTTGTGAGTGGTACAGAAACAAACAATAGGCTGGATTTGGTCCATGGGCGATAGTTTGTTAACCATGATATAAACCAACAATGAGTATTTTTTTTACCCTCTCTCTTCTGGAAAAGAAAAAAGTAAAAATAAAAAAAGTAAAAATTCTCCGACCTAGAGACCTAGGTCACTGGGGGAAAGCATTTGTTTCTCTTACTATGAAAAGTAAATACTAAGAACATTCTGACTTTTGTTTTTAAAACATTGAGCAGCTGCAAATTAAAAAAAAACAAAACACAAAAAACACCTCAGACATTTCTAATGATTCTCCATTCAAAAGAGGCCAGTTTCTGAAACTTGAAGAAGTAGAGGAGTTGGTATGCATAAAGTCACAGATAGCAGTTGAAGAAAGAGTAGATCAATAGTATAAGCCAAAACCAATCCATTGCGATCAAGTTGATTCAGGTTCAGGAAGTGTTCCTTCTTCCTACAAAATGACTACATACTGTGTGTGTACTTTACAATGTCGTGAAAAGGCAAATCCATAGAGACAAAGTAGACTCATGGTTGCCTTTGCTTTGGGGTAGAGATGCAGGGAGAAAATAGAGAAATGGCTACTGATGGATATGGGGTTTCTTTTTAGGTGATGAAAATGTTCTAAACTTTATTGTGTTGCTGATTACACCACTCTATGATAATCCTGAAAACTAGGATCCAGAAATCCTGAATTACACACTTTAAACAAGTGGATTGTGTGGTATGTGACTTAGATGTTAATAAATGTGTTTGTAAGGACACCAGTACAAAGATGAGCAAAGCCAGTGAACAAGTCAATCATTGAAGAATGCGAATGGTCAGTAAACAGATGAAAATGGTTTACCAAAAGCCAACCCATCACCATCTAGTGTAGACATGCTATCAAGTCATATTGATGTTATAGGACAGAGTAGAATTCCCTCACTGTATTTCTAAGGCTGGAATCTTTATGGAAGGAGATGGTACATCTTTCTCCTCCAGAGCAGCTGATGCATTCAAACCCGGATCTTTGATTGAGCAGCTGAATGGTTAATCATTGCACCACCAGGACTCCCAATTAAAAGTAAATTAAAATTAACTTTTGGGTGCTCTTCGGGTTAATAAAAAATAAAATTCAGAATACCCTCTGAAAATGTAAGAATTTTTTTTATTTTTGACTGAAGGAAATAAAATTATCTTTAATTAAGAGTCTTCTAGAAATATTGAATCTTTTATACTAAATTAGGCATGGAACCTGAAGTCTGTAAATTTCAGAACTCTGAAAGAAATAATGAGGACTTCTGGAACCTTCTCTTCTGTAATGGCAAAGACTGTTTAGATATGCATTTTACTTCTGAATGTTTAGTATTTTACATTAACTGGTATTGTGTTTAAATTCTCCTCTGTTTCTTGGTTGCTTATTTTTGCATACTTTCTTGCCATGTTCAGATTCCCAGTGTGCCTATAAATTGAATAGAGCCTGCACTGTATGTCATATTATCCTTTGACTGACTTCTATCCTGTTTTAATTTTGTCATACTCATTTTTATGAGTCACATTTTATTAGACAACCATGCTATGCCTATGTTTCATAATCCCTTTTCTAGTAGGTCCTCTTGGTTTTTAATGGTTTGGGTTTTTTTCTTAGAGCAACATTTTTAAATTCCTTCAGTCTTTTTGTCTCTGTCATGTATCATGGTGCTGGAATTGTATGTCACAAAATCACTTCTGACTCATCGCTGCTCTTTAAGATTTTTTAGGCTGAAAATCTTTACAGGATCAGATTGTTAGGGTTTTGGGGTATTTTCCCCTCCATACAGAGTGGCTGGTGAGTTCAAGCCAAGAAATTTTAAGTTAGCAACCACTTGCTTTAATTACTGCATCACCATTGATATTAGTGTATTGTGTTCTTAGCTTGTAACATGGTTTTTTCCTAAGATCTGATGAAATTTATCTCTTTACATACAAGGCTTTCTCATTTTAACTACCTGTGAAATTTTACTAATCTTTATACTTATAGATCATACTTGCTTAATAAATACTAGTTCGAGAAGTAAACATTTGAAATGTTGGACTTCTTGTATTATCTAGTTAAGTTAACAATTCCTTTGTTGTCTTTGGGTTGTTTCCCTCCTCTTGCAGAATTTGGAGCTGTCTGCTTGATATTTTCTGCGACACTCGCTTACTTCCCACCTCGGCCTCCTCTCCCTCCCAGCGTTGCTGCAGCGAGCCAGCGGCTGAGTTACCGGCGGAGCTTTTGTAGATTATTGAGGTAATGTCATACTTAGAACCATTAGATGGTTTTGACTAGTAACTTCAAGATAATGTTACATTTAATATTATCTATGACAGCAATTTTTAGCAACCTGTTGATGAACTCTTGATGACATATTTTAAAAGCATTTCAATCTTTAAAAATTGCCAGAAACACCTCTGTAATTTTTGCTTTGTCTGCATACTGCTAATACTGTTACTGAATATTTTGAATTGCAGTCTTTTAATTTGCTTAATTTTTAAAAGGAAGCATATCAAATAAGAGGCAGCAACAATTCATTGCCGTTAAATCACAACTGACTCACCGTTCCCCCTCCCTTGGGTTTCTGAGACAGTAAAGCTGTAAATTGCCCAGGAAGAGATTGAGCTTGTTCTCCTTCAGAGGCCTCACCTTTGGGTAAGCAGCACCATTCTCTGTGGGCTGTGCCACCAGAGCTCCCTGTCAGATGGTGTTGTTGTGATGGTTAGGTGCCGTCAAGTTGACTGTGACCCAGTCATTATATATAACAGAACCTTACCGTATCCTGCATGATCCTCACAAGCCTATTATGTCAGTCTGCCTCACTGAGGGTCTTCCTTTCTTTAACTGACCCTCTGCCTTTTCCAGCATGTTGCCTTTTTCCAAGAACTGGCCTCCCTGAAAATATGCCCAAAATAAGTAAGATGAAGTTTCACCATTCTTCCTTGTAATGAACACTCTGGTTGTACTTCCTCCAAGATAGCTTTGTGTGTTGTTTTGACAGTTCATAGTATATATTAATACTCTTCACCAACAATCAGCAGTTCAAATCCAGCTGTTCTTCAGGAGAAAAATGGCTTGTCTCTTCCAGTAAAGATTTACAATCTTGAAAACTCAATGGAGGATTGCTATGAGTTGAAATCTACAGTTGGTGGTGGGTAATAATATGAAGGAACTGGCAAAAACATAAGGTATCAGAAATTGATGGTATATCATTGACATAATTCTACAAATAGATACAGTCCTAGATGTTCTCACCAGATTTTTGTGCCAAGAAATCAGGAGGACAGCTACCTGGAAGAGATCTATATTTATTCCCATTCCTAAATAAAGTGATCCCACAGAGTGTGGAAATTATCAAACGGTATCACTAATACCAAACACAACCCTGATAATCCAAAAACAACTGGAACAGTACATTGATAGAGAACTGCCAGAAGTGCAAACTGGGTTTAAAAGAGGACGTGGCACTAGAAACATCATAGCCAGTGTCAAATAATATACATAGTCAGTTATCTTGGCTGAAAGCCGAGAGTACCAGAGGAATGTCTTATCTGTGTTTCAGTGACTGTGCAGAGCCATTTGACTATGTGGATTACAGAATATTATGGCTAATCTTGAGAAGAAAGGGAATCCCCAAACAATTAATTGTGTTCATGTGAAACCTATACGTGCACCAGGAAGCATTTGTCAAAACAGAGCAAAGAAACACTGTGGTTCACAATTAGGAAGAAAGTGCATCAGGGATACATCCTATCTCCATATCTTTTAAATACATATGCAAAACAGATCATTTGGGAGGCTAGACTTCATGAGAGAGGAATGTGGCATCAGTATTGGAGGAAGACTCATCAACAACCTGCGATATGCAGATGATACATCCTTGCTTGCCGAAACTAAAGAGGATCTGTAATTTTTTGCTGCAGAAGATCAAAGGCTTTAGTCTTCAATATGGATTGAAACTCAATATCAAGAAAACAAAGATTCTCACAACTGGGCCGGGTGGCAGCAACACTATAAATGGAGAAGAGATTGAGATTGTTCATAATTTCAGCTTGCTTGGTTCTGCAGTCAACACTCGTGGCACCAGCAGTCAGCAAAGCAAAAGACTAATTGCATTAGGTAAATCTATCAGGAACCTCTCCAGAGTGCTAAAGGGAAACCATGTCTGCCTGCACCTGATTTAAGTAATGGTCTTCGCAAGTCCATGCTATGTCTCAGAGAGCTGGTCAGTGAAGAGAGATGACAGAAGAACAATAGGTGCCTTTTCATTGTTCTAGAAAGGTGTATTAAATGTACTATGGAATGCCAAAAGAACAAACAGGTTTGTCCTGTAGAAGGTGAAACCAGAGCTGCTACTTGGAGGCAAGGATTTTGAAGCTCCATCTCATGTTGGGCATGTTGCCAGGAAGAACCGATCCTTAGAGAAGGACATCATACTGGGAAGGGTTAGGGGACAGCACAGGAGAGGAAGACCTTGGATGAGATGGATTAACACAATAACTGGGTAGGTGTGTCCAGAAACAGTGAGATTGGTTCAGGATAGAGCAGGGTTCAGAGCTATTGTGCATTGGGTCACTGTGAGGTGGAGTCAACTTGATGGTACCTAACAACAACAGCATGAGGGAACACTGGTAGCTTAATGGTAAGGAATTGGGCTTGGCAACTCAAAGGAATGCAGTTAAAATTCAGTTGCTCAGTGAGAAACGGGTGGGCATTTCTCTCCCATGTGCTTTACAGTCTCTTAATTTCTGCTGCAGGTTCAACTGTGAGTTAATTTTGGCTAGATGGTATGCAACAGCAGCAAGAGAAATATATTGAGTCACTCTTATGTAATTTTAAATATTCTGTTTAAATCCTCAAAAACTTTAAAAGAATAAAGTCTATTTTAATAATATGTTTTATCTAAC